TTTGATGTCCACGTATTTTTCACAGGTCGAGCAACGTTTCAGTCCGCAGTGATGCAAATCAGGCCTCAGTCGAGTCCGATCAAAAACAAGATTACAATGAGGACATTTGGCAGTAGACAAACAAATTGATTTTGCATTTCCTACATTTTGTTTGTGCCGATCGAAACATTCTTGACTTTTAAAAATACGATTACAATCACTACATGAAATCCACGAAACAATAGGACAATTTTGAAAATGGCACAATTTACACGTATCTCCGCATAAATGATTTTTTACATGATCATACCCTTTTTTACAAGTATGGCAATACTTTTTACGAGCAACAAAAGCCGGCATGCTTGTAATCACATCGACATGATTGTCATGCAAAAACAAATAGATCCTTTTCTCTTTATCAGGTCCGGAAAAAATGACAGAATTTTGATGCTCTTTTGAAACAATGTTGATTTGATAATCGGTCAAATACGCTTGAAATTGTTTGACTTGGTCTATACCACAAGAACCTATAGGAACACCTGCTTTTTCATGCAAATCATGAGCTAAACATTCCTGTAACGAAGCACGATGATTGGCTATCACCTTATACCGTCTATCATTTTCAATTTTGGCAATCGAAACAACTAAAGCCCGAGCTAAACATAAATCATCCTTGTTTTGAATCCGTATGATTGAGCCTCTTTTGGCCAAATGCTTTTCCAAATTTATTTCACTGCGTTTTGTTCCGGTACCGCCGTTGGGCATTTCAACATGGACCAAATTCACTTTGACACTGTCGTTTAGACGAAATTCATGGTTGGATTGAATAACACGCTCAATTTGAGCTAAAACCCGCTCTGTTGTCAAACGAGAAAGAGCCATGAAAGGAAGAGAAATAGGTTTTTCAAGCTGAGGTGAATGCAACACAAAACGTACTTGATCATGCTCTGGAATATCTCGTGTAATGGTATTCAACATACTTTCAAATATTCCATGCAGACGGTCGTGGAACTGAGAAAGCTCCAAATGAGCAAACGTGTCCGTGAATTGTACTGTATAATCCACACCTGTCGTGCTGAATTTTTTCACTTTAACTTGTTTCATATTTGTCACGGTAAAAAAGTTATCGCTAACCTCGTCAGTTGCACTGTCATTCACTTCGTCTATGGATCTTTTCTCGCCACGGCCCATTTGCAACAGGGGGTCATCGTTTTGCCATTCACGTATGAATCTTTCACGTTGTTCCGGTGTCCAGGTGTCCGTAAAGTCAGCCGTAAGCCCTAGCTGCTCATTTTCTACTCTCCATTCCGTTATTCGACGAAAAATTTCCAATTTCCTCTCGAAAAGAATGCGTTGTTCCACTTCATTCAACAAATATAGCCTTTCCAAAGTTGATAATTCAGCTATTGTCTGACACTCGACAATTTTAACTGCCAAATCCATGTCTAAATAAAAATACTCTTGTTTATTTCCTTTCTATAACATACAACAAGCCATGAAGGAACTTAATACTTTTAACAAATATAGAACTCTGTATAGAACCGAAACTTTTATAGTAAAGAGGTATAAATCGTCCCGTATTTTTTTTCAAAAAATCATCTAAAATCTAAGTTGCTATGGCAACCGCTTGCGGTAACTTCATGATAAATCGACTCTTTTAAAGCAAAACTTCTCGCGAAACGCTTTATTTATGAAAGCTATAAACAAAACTGTTTTGCCTAAATTCACATACCTTTTAACGTTGAAAAGGAACACCTCGTCTGCAAAGTTCTGACCAGTTAATATCTGTGAATAACTATAAACAAAAATTGCGAAACGTCAAATATCCAGCAAAGTTCTATCGGTAAAAACTATAAAACAAAAATGCATTGCCTAAGTTCACATACAAAATGTTTACCTATATAATTTGTTAAATAACATACCTTTAAAAGTTGAAAGCAGCAAGTCTTTATACTAAGAAAAAACCACTCGCGAAACGTCAGTAAAGTTTTCTCTGTGAACAATATATCAAAGCAAATCTTTCAAAGTTCTCTCTGCGAAAGCTGTGTAAACACTACGTTCTTGCAAACTCGAAGACCTCAATTTATACAGTATATTAAATCCGGTTCGAACTGGTATTGTAGCGCTTACAAGGATCATATTTTTTTTTACAATAAGTCAATAACGTTATGCGACAAATACTTGGTGACACCATCTCAAAATTCCAAAAGCTCACGCGACAAATGTTACGCGACAATGTTTCAAAAAATGACGTCACCCTTATCCCTAAAAACGCTGACGTCCTATGGCGGGAAAAATGCTGACGTCATATGGCGGGAAAATTTTGCCAGATGGGGGGTTTTATCTACTGACGTCCTTTTACGTAAGATTGTTTTGGAAATTAAATGCGCAAGCATATTCAGATAGTTTGCTAATAAAAGATTAAAAGATGTTAAGAAACGTAATATAAGCACATAATTATCGCAGCAATCATACACTACGTCAGCCTAGACCTGGGCCCTTTACTACGCTGAATTAGGCAGGTTTGGTAAATTTTGGGCAATAATGTTGTAAATATGACGTCACATACGAAAGCAACGTGCGCGCATTTCCATCCATATTAAACTTCCATTGCGCATTTCGATCAACACTGTCTCTGTCAAATTTAGAAAAGGCTACAGCGAGACCCGTTTGAATACTAATATCTCATAATGTTTGTATTTCTTGTTTCCACCATTTTTGGTGGATATTTAAGAATAGAAAACATTTCCCGTGTTTGTAGGTGCAAGAATCTTTAAGTTCCTTTCTCTTGCCTTACAGGCCACGATTTAAACGCGCTTCGATTTTCCTTAGATCTGTATTTACACGTATACGGTTTAAACTACAAATACAAAATTACAATAATATAAGCTATAGAGTAGAGATTCCTTTACAGTATATTACAAATAAGGTACTTACTCTTATGACCTCTAGGATCCTTTGTGAACGATGTTCCTTAAATATATTGAGCGATGTTTAATAACGATTTTCGATATACCTTGACTTGTAACAAACAGTTTTCAATTTGTTCTATAGTTCGCACCCATGCCTTATATACATTGTAGAGTGCAACCATCTGAGACGATTTAAATATATTAATTATAATTTACTTTAACAAAGCGTCTGCATTAATGCAGTTATATTACTCGGCTCCTTAAACGATACTACCTGTATTGTTTAATAAAACAGATACATGCAATTATGCAGTGTTCTCTTGCTCTTCTACCTTTAATAGGACTACCAGTTTGTGTATTGGTCTGCGGATTTCGTAGTCGACGTTTTAACAGTCACGCTTCTAATGAATCCTTCCTTATCTGGTTCGGCTACAATTACTCTTCCCATTGACCATAAATCTCTGGGTTGATTCTCTTCCTTGATCATAATGACGATATCTCCTATCGCAATGTTCCGTTTCTGGTTTATCCATTTCTGACGAGTTTGAAGTGTGACTAAATATTCCTTTCTCCAACGAGACCAGAATAGATTTGCCAAATACTGGACCCTTCGCCATCGACGACGCATATAAATATCCTCTCGTTGAAAGTTTCCTGGTGGTGGTAGGATTATACTACTCTTCATAGTTAACAAGTTATTGGGAGATAATGGTTGTAAATCATCTGCATCGTTAGAGACAAAGGGATTGGTCTCGAATTCACAATAGCTTCAACTTCGCATAGCAATGTCTGAAAGGACTCGTCATCCAAACGTCAGGGCCTTTTTTAAGGATTTTCCCGTGGGGGGTCATTTTTTGAAAAGGGACTTTTCTGTGATATAATATATTAGAGGGGGATAGCAATGGCTGAAGGTTACGTGTGTCGCCAATATACCGCTCATGAATGGGAGGTGGTCTGGGGGAGTATTCTCCCAGAAAGTTTTTGAAATTTGAATCCCGGAAATGTCATTTCCTGCATTCTTAGCATCCAAGTTTGCTCCAAAATTTATGCTAACTATACCTGTATTTGAAATAAATAAAGGAAAAAACGCACAAAAAGTTAAAAAAAATTAACCATCATTTATCATTACTTACTAGAAAATACATGCATGCAGAAACCCTCGCCTTACTGACAAAACATTATGTTTTCTGAATATTAGGAAGAATTGAAAGTAGTTGTCATGGTAACACGATAATTTTAAGAATAGTTTTAAACTTGGTTTTAAAATTGAAAAATCCCCCCAAAATATCACTTTTAATAACAAAATTATCAATTTCCCAAACATATGTATGCCAGGTATGTTATTATACGTAATATAAGCATCAATTTAATGTAAAATTCAACCACAAACGCTTCGCAAAACG